ACACACACGAAAACGCGCAATTAAATCTCCAGCGCTGCCATTATTTGCTTACGTGGAGTTCCAGCCAATCACATTGTGCCGTGGATTCATAGCCCCATCCTTGGGTCGAAGTTGGTAGCAACACCCCTGTAAAACGATGCTGATTAATAAATTACCGTAGCAATGTTGGGAGTTGTTTAATTGCAGAGAATTTGTAAAGCGACAGGGTTAGTTCCGTTAAGGAATACCCAGATCGAAGTTGACTACGCGCATATCGAACATCCACTGAGGGGAGACAAGGAAGTGTCCACTTCCTACCCAACCCCTGAAGCACAAATGTCTTGGTGGCCTCAACCCCCGAGTTCTGGCGAAATGAAACAGAAAAACGGAGTGGGGAGAACCGCTACCAAGACTTGGCATAACGTCCAGCCAGCTTTGACCAAACAATCACCTAGTCCACATTCTGGTGGCCATAGTTAATCACAATGCAAACACTCCCTTGTCAAGGCAGATAAGCGCTGCAAAATGGGGCAGAGTTGCACTAGTTACCCTGAAATTCCATTACTACCAGTCCACAGCAGAAGGTCTTGTTCCGATGTTGCGTTCGTTGAAACCATCACCGACCTCAGCATCTCAACTCTCTCTGCTGAGCTTCGAGAAAGTCACCTGGTGGTAACGTAATGCCAGTCGTTCTCTGTTCAAGCAAATCTACACCATGTCACAAGCTTATCTGCGAACGCCTGTAATCGATTTACATATCGTCTGGCTGAGCGGCAACACCCAAAATTAAGTCTGGTGTTGACCTCGAAAAATCGTGACGGATGTCGTTCGATTTCGTAGCTGACACGGAGCACAGTGATTAAAACAAAAACTAGTTGACCCTGAAAGAACCTGTCAAGCACCTCCCCGTGTTTCCCGGTGTGGTATCTACCAACAGCCTTATACTGCGGAATAATTTTTGCCATGATTTTAGCCTAATCACGGATGCGCCCTTAGCAAATCGACTTAAAACTTGGCATTTTAGGCAATCGTTCAACTCTTAATCTGCAGAAGAGCGTCTGCAAGCAGTGGTTCCTCTCGTAGACCTGTCTGGTTCCACCCTTGAAGTCCTAAATCTGGCCGTATTTGAACCTGCGTCTGCATCCAATTTCGATGTGATACCGGGTGCATAATTAGCTACATTTTATTGCTGTTTAAAAAAGACGATGAACTCAAGCAAACACCCACACTCACACACACACATCCCGTCCGCTATTCAGGAATGTCTGGGTCTGCCATGTCCCATTTCTAGGTCTGGGGATGTCCTGCAAATAGGAGCGTTTGGCGTGCTCTGAGGATATTAACTATTCATCATCAAAACATCCCCCCGCGACATGGACTAGTTCAGCCCGCCTACCGGTTACACTTCGCTAATTTCAAGTGTTTTTGTTTGGGAAAGTAACATTTCAGCCACCTGTGCGCAGGAAAAGCAATAACGATGTTTTTGGGATAAATAATTAAAAGTCATTCTTTTCCTACTGGCGAATGAAGTCTGAAATTGGTGCTAGTCACACACACAGCCGGCGTTTAGACCTCTATCAGATCTGACAGCCACTTGAACTAATAACGTCACATGAGCAGGCTTTGAAAACCACATGTTTTCCATGATGCTGCACTTCTTAAACGACTTTACTTGTTTTGCAACACGATAGTGTGACAATCATGTGTTTGAGTAGTATCTTGAGGTGTCACCTGCGTTGAAACCATGACATACACCCAGGTGTACTCTGATACGCTAAACGGTGTTCAGGGTGGAAATCTAGACTTCAGCATTTTTACGGTAATTACTAAGGGAGTTCACCAGTGCTAAATGCACTTCTAAATGATCAACTTGAAACCTCGCACAGATTTGACCCAACTTTTGCCTTTTTTATTTATAAAAAATCGTCTTCACGAGAATTCCAGAACTCACAAAAGCCCGTTTTGATCAAAGTAAGGACTTGGTTTTGACACGCAGAGGTCTACACATTAGCTAACATGTGCCTTCATCAATTCTAAACTACGCATCTGATTCGTTAGTGCAGTAACCAATGAGAACACGGCAAAGCGTCGAATGAAACCATTCTTGACCAATCAGCTAACGATAGGCTGGTGCACGCAAGCTTGTCTGTGTGCTCGCGCGCCTTCTATTTACATATATAAAGGGTGTCGTTCCAGCGTGTTGGCGTCATTAGACGGCTTTTGCTTCTAACTCTTCTTAGCGCTCATGGCTAGTGGTGATCAACAGATGTATCCTTGCATTGGAGAGGACGACCATGGCTACTTCGAGGCGAGTTCCTCTGACGAGGAGGAGTCTTCCAGGTGCTGGCCACCGCCAGGTCGACGCAAGCGCCATCCCGCTGGCAGCGGTTTAACTTACATTCCACCGTTCAGGACTCAATACTCCCTTCCAGTCCACCAACCCGGTGAGAGCACCACCAAAGAAGTGTCTGCTGCCCCCTCGGAGGCCAGTATCACCTTTGCGGAACCCCCAAGATCGGACCCGGTGCCTATTCCATCGGCTCCAAGATCTTCGGCTGCCACCAGCGGCTTCTGCTCACCGCAATCTTTAACCTCTTTCGCTGAAACTGAACCTCTAGGAGCTTACCTCATGTGGCGGTTTCTTTCAGAAGAAGACGAACCTCCAGTGAGTCGAGGTGACTGAATTTTCTCCATTATCTGTAAATACCACCTCGTTCCTCCTCGACTGAACCCTTTTGATATCAAGTGAACGCGTTGTACATATGTTTTAGTCTCATCTTTTATTTAACGGTGATATCTATTTTAAGAAAAAAAAATCTGCTTTGTATAAATCACCCGTCTTGTTCCCAGGCCCTGTGTGTGTGTTTGGGAGGGCTAAAATTTCTCGGATTGCGGACAATTTGCGACTTTACTGGTTGGGCGGTTAAATTTAAGAGATGGGTGTGCTCGAGCCACAAGTGGCGACTAAAAAGGACCCAAAGTGGACGAAATCTCTCATGTAGACTCCGAAAGAGCTTTGTTGTAAGTCGGAGTCGGTTCGTACAGCGGTAATGTCAAATGGGTGCTTAGCAAACTTGTGCTGAGAGATGGAAATGCAGGCTGCTTAACCTGGTCGGTTTGAAATGGTGGGGGGAGGCATACCGTGCCCGCTTTATCCGGCAACCAGCTGATTGGGTGACGTCACTCAGGCAACGACGGTCTGCACATGCGTGCATCCGCGCCCATGCCAAGGTCAGTGTAGACATTTCATCGACCATGCGCTGGTTAACAGAAATTTCGCATCAGCGCGCCGTTCGCGATCTCAAAGTTACAGCCTCTGAGCTACCACGACCTTGACAATTGCTAACACCGATTGGGGATCCAGGGTTCCCCAAGATTGCTCATCGCCGATTTTCGTCATTGTTTACATTAATTTCCTGACGTCTGTTCTATTGCGCGTAGCTGGTACCTCTCAGCCCGTCACTGTATTATACCGCGATCACAAAAACCGCAAATTCCATGCACCCGCACTCTCCTGTTCCATGCCCAACAACGGTGTTCGGCGTTTCTGTGTTGTGGAAATCCAGAGAGAACGGTTCAAGACGATCGCCTGGAAATGATATTGAATTTATTGCTAAAAAAATTTATAATAAAGACAAAAAAGCCCACCTGGGATCAGGTGGTGGCAGTCGAATCAGTAGTCAGATCAACTTCATGAAACGTCAATTTGGGTTTCAAGACACACGGTCAGAAATTCCTGGAGAATAGTGAGAAGCACATCTAGGAAGCTAGTGTCAAGAGTCAACTGAACTGCCGCACATCTGTCTTTGTTAATTTAAAAGAAGTGAACAAACTACTGAAAAGAGTGTGTAAAGCATTTAAAACCGAAAAAGGGCTCTCGGTGTGGGCAAAAATCTCACCTTGCCGCAACTTCGTCTTTACATTTTGCGTGAGTCAGTGTGATTTATTTTGTACGCACAAATTCCTAGTACCCTGACCCGGCCAACCCCCAATATTCAGCGACTAATTATAAAACCATGTAGTAGATGTGACTTGAATGGGATTTTACGACTGCTTGTGTGTTATTTCTTCTTGTATTTGGTTGGTTAGTTTCTCGAAGATGTAACTAAGACATCTCGGGAGTTTGTAATGTTCGGAGTTTAAAATTTGTCAACAGAGATATGATGAAATGCAGTGGATTTCACCTTCTCCAGACGGCAGGCGATTAAATTTCTCTAAAAAACTTTCGAAAACACTGGGATCTGGGCTGTTTAATGGTAGGTGCAGCTTCGGTTATTCTTTACGCACGGAAGACTGCAAATTTATCTCACCTTGCATTATCTTAGGTGCTTTGGAACAATGTAAGTCTCCCAAGGCAGTGCCATTTTCCAACGCTCTAAAAAACTGGCTCCGTGACTGATTTTGTCATTTTCTGCTACATTGAGGACCAGATTCCACCACCATCACCACCTCTTCTTCCTTTCTTCCTTCAAATCGTTCCTATAGTCGTATATTCGGCCACAATTTGCAAAAACTGATTCATGTTTAACTTACTGGTGTGTAGGTGGCCGGAATTTGACATCTAGTACGTCTGCCCCCATCAAGGGTGTGTCAAGTAGAAAAAAAAGCTACCTGACCACACCTAAGTCGTGTAGGGTTACACACACGGACGGTCAACTTCTTGTTCATTATTTGCTGGAAATTTAATCGACACCGGTCTGTGGTGTATCTTGAAACTGGCCAGGCTACTTAAAGGCTTTAGTAAGTAGCTCTGAGTTGCAGTGCATAGGGTTCACTACGCTGTAAAGGTTGTGCCTTAGAAAAGGAATCGGGCTTGATCAGAATCTTATTTTCTGAAAGTGCGTAATTTCCATGACATGTTCACGTGTGCCGTGCGGATTTACCGATCAATGGCATGAAATATTCAAGAGTTGTGACAACATGATTTGCGTGTCGTTGATTGGCTCATTCTGCAAACAAATCGGAGACCAGTCAATAAAATCGATATCTGAACACCCCTGCAATTATTTTCATTAAAGTTTCCCAATAAATGTGCTCTGCGTCGTGAAGCCGACTCATAGACAGCATCACTCACGTTGGTTGTCGCCAAACATCGACACAGACAAGGTATCAAAGTCACAACCATCAGTGTGTTCGGACTTGACTAGGGTTCTTGATAAGAACAGGATATCTTCGCTTCGGAATCTGCCGACGTTAGTCACAACTACTTGGAATATGTAACGAGATGAAACGCCGTGGTGTAAACTACGTTTATTTGATGTCGTAAACCATGAGACACTGTTTCACCAATGTTTACAGTGATAGTTCACTGGGAACGAGTGGTCACAGTTTTGATGAATCGCTCTATCCTTCACGCACTGTGACATTCGGCATCCAGATATATTTACAATATTTAACCAGTTGTCGTGAGACTCGAATTTTTCTTTGAAAATCAAAGTTTAAATTTTTTTGATCTAAACGTAACAGCGATTTGTCCTCCCATTTGGTTAACCAATCGGTCATCCTCTATTGTCGACCATTCCAAATTGGCTTAATTGATTGATTGGGTTTTGCAGTTTATCGATTGCTTCTCCCGTTTCAGTCATCTTATTGGTTGAGTAATCAGTTATATTGAATTGTGCTCGTTGCAAGTTAGATTCCTATCTCCTCCATTTTGAACCTTTTATATGGTCCCTATCGTTTAGACATCTTTCTGGTTGTCTGAGTAAAACGGGCCACTTATTTTCACCTCACTAAATTCAAGGTCAGTCTAAACTCGATTCTAGCAACAAATAAAGCTCCGTTTTGTCTTTTACGAGAGATAATGCACCCCATAGGTTTTTCTGGGTGCGCTGATAAGAGTCGATTCAAATCGGTCGGTGTTCGTTGACCACATATGCCGTTGTTTACTCAGGTGATGTGTAAGCTTGATAAGTACATGTGCACTTATCGTAACCACGCCTTCGTGAATGCAGATGAGGTGTGAACGTGTGTAACCGAAATCGGATAGCCACCGACCACATTTGCTTAAGGGCATGTGTACTTGCTACAACATCCTAACACAACAACCAATCCCAGGACACAGAAGGAAGCGGTGTGCGCGTGAATATGATGCGGTTGTCAAGGTCACGCCTGGACAAACCGTTTCCACCAGGCTGCCTGTCAAGCGAGCAGAACTATATGGCTAATAGGACGTCTATTTTTCGCACACCGCGAGAGGCTACGCTCTGCCCCACTCACAATGCGGTGTTAACGCCTACTGCGCCTTGTCAACTGCGCGGCGTAGGATACGGAGAGAAAAGAACGCGCCATCTAGTCGAAGTCAGCTGTAGCCAATCAATGATGAGTTGAGGGAACCAATAATATAAAGCTCCTGTATGCAAAGTCCGTGTGCGTTCGAGTTTTTCTTATTTGGTCTACATCAACTGGAAAATTTTGACAATTTAAACATCGGAGTCTCAGAGTATACTGCCTGCGAAATGGATGACTTCGTGCATGAGTTTATTTGGAAAATCTTTGAGGGTAACGTGCGACCTTGATGATGCACCAATACCCAGCATTTTGCCATCGCATCGTCGATTGGTAGCAAGTCATAGCCCCGCTAAGTTCAGCTGTGCGTTCAGTTCAAATCATTTTTATTTAAATCAGTAGGTGAACGGCCGAGCAGGTTCGTACTGAGATCGTAGTGGCCACCTTCAGAATTACTGAGAACCGGTATTGTGTGGAAATTTCATGAGTTTGAATTTCGAATTATGATGCACACTAAACACTGAAATGCAACTTGAGCGGGTAACATGAAAAATGTAATGATACAGCAGTTTGAATTCGCCACTTGCAAGGGACCACACTTTGGTCAAATTCGGTTGTACATTAGCAATCGGCAAACTATTCTTCGGATCAATGTAAACTTCTGGTTTAGAGCGCATACGCTTTTGTTGAAAGGGAACGAATGTGGGGATTCGTCAGACAGGTACATGGGCCTTATTTTCGTGGATTTGGCATGACGCTCAAACAGTGTGATTGGTTAGTTATCTCTGGTGGCCATGGCAGTTATGTGATCAGAAAGTCATGTTCAAGTGTGAGGCCACACGCATACCTTGGCAGGTGAGATGGTTCGTGGCGCGGTTAACAACCCACTTGACACGAAGCGCACCCACGCAGGCGTGACGGATTACGTGCGTCAGTACGCCGAACAAAGGGACACACCCGTCTGTTTAACAGAGCCTTCGTCGAGTTTTGAGGTGACGATTTTATCCCGCCATCGTTTGTTTAACTCGACTCTTGCATTTTGAGAGTAGCGGGGATGATATAAACGAGGTTTTGATCAGAAATGCTAAACTAGACTCAACTTCAGGAAGGGTCAAGCAAATTTGGGGTGTGGTCTTTGGCAACGTGTTTACCAGCAGTGACCTTGACGCCATGGCAGTAACACTTTAAACAAGCGCTGACTTCGAGGTTAGTATAGGTCTTCTTCTATAGAATGAAAGGTGTGCAGGCAAATGAACTAAAGTAATTAACTACCGTTATGATGATCTGAGCTGTTCGGAGGGACAGAAGCACACCGCGGTTGAGTATGGACGTCGACTGTCAACTATTCAACCCTGCCCTTCTACAGAAGTGTTTGTTTCCTAAGACATGCCTCCAGAATAAAAATGTGGAATATCCTTTTCTAGTTTCTTCTTCCAACTTAATCTAGAAGGTTCACGGGTGATGCTGATCATGTCTCGGAATTGAATTCATCGTGGTCTTGTAGAAATCACGTGAGATTCCACCACAATAACGCCACAATGCGGGATCAAATCATATAATACTCACAATCTAGATGATCTAATGTTCTGCGAAAGAAATGCAGGCGACACAGATCAAAAAGCAATTTTATTGGTTTTCCGGCCGTTAACTTACAACCGGTGGATAAATCTAGCTAGACGAGGTTAAGAGTTGGTAGTTTGCAAGACTAATTTGAATACCTGAGGCCACGATTACAGTCGTCAGGCCCTCAGAATCTTTCTACCGATTTAGCCATACACTTAGATGCAGAGCAATGTTCCAATAAAACTCATCCCCTCAAGGTCAGGCCAGGAAACAGGTGACATATCTTTCACACGCATGACTATGTGTAGGATTTCATGGTGTTGAAATTTCAAAGGACAACAGCAACCAAACCACTGGATGGAGCGTTTAAAGTGATCTTAAAGGCTTCATGCAGTGCGTACGCTTGTCGAAGGTTTGTTGGACGCTATTGGTTTAAGCGATGTCCTTGACGCGCCACCTGATGAGGTTGTTGGTTGAATTGTAGGTGGCGCGTGTGATGCACAAAATACCTAGTTAGGTTCACGTTCAGCGCAGCACTTTAACACACAGAGAGAAAAAATTCACACACCCACACACCACACGCGTATTTGGGTGTGGTTTCTGATAGAATTGACACACGAAGGCTTCAACCATCAAACTCCACCTAACCCCACACTGTCACCCGTCAGTGACAAACGGAAGTGACAGCGCTTCGGTTAACGTGACTTCGAAGGTAAACGGATGAACCTCCTCCAATTTAAGGTAGCAGGTTCTAAATGGGAGGCAGATTTATAAGAAGTCTTTTTGTAAGCAGTAATGCACACTGTGAGTCAGCTCCGGATTGGGTCATTCGGCAAAGCGCACCACGCGGCCTCTTCCTGGTCTTTCTAGCACATCGATGTCAGCCCCGCGATCAGTGCACCACCCGATAACGCCAGAAAAGCCGGATGAGAGCGCAGAACCGCTGGCATGGCGTGATGAATGATGTCAAGGTCACCGCGATCACACACTGTGTTGAAGTTGTCAGGAGTGTTCTGGATCGATTCTTGGTGCACCAGTTGGCACCATTTAATTCAAAAACAAACCACATGCATGTGATGGCGTTGGTTAGTCCGGTGACATTGATAGGAGTGAAAACCATGCCAGATGAGTTGATGTGATCCACTGCGTGGGGTCACTAATGACCCGTGCTGATTCTGTGCACCCTTAGGTGGTTGTGATGGCGTGACCTCTGCTAGGACGGGGGTACGTGGTTAGAGATGAGATTGCGGTAGCGAAAAAAGTTCGATAGAGCTCCTGATTTGCTAGATCAAGGTCACCCAATAAATCAAATTGGGCTTCGACACTTTACAATCTTATTGAAATTCTAAATATCTGATTGGCTTACGTCGTTATTTACTGGCTCGTAAACAACGGCTATCCCGACGTAAATGTTAACGTGATGGTGCAATGTCGGGGCTACGCGCGCCTAACCAGCCTCCGGAAATTTTCCCGAGTTGCTTCCGGGCCCAATTTCTTTAGCTGACAGTAAGCATCCTAATTGACTCTCTAGTTGCATGAAAACAGCTTTAAAATGTACCTGTGTACTGCAAAAGTGGATGTGAAAATGCCGAAAGTATTGCATAACCTGTCTCTACCAGGTACTCATTCGCACTCTCATGGTGGTCTGAATCCCAGACGGTTCAAGTTCATTCTACTGCCGTCTCTCATTGGTCAACTAAAGTGCTTAGTGACCTCGAAGCACCAATGCAAAGCTAATGGCGCAACTACCATTTTTAGGAGTCAACCAGCTTGCCTGATGGCATAATTACAACGTTTTATTATTAAACTATGTAGCAAGCATGTACGAGGACGTGTCAAGTCTTGGCAACTTCCATTTGACACAAATTAACTAGGTGTGTTATTCGCAATTAAATCAAGGGCTATTCATCTGGTGCCTCAAAATTAACCTTCTTCTGTAATTTCTCCAAGCAACTTCCAACTCCAAGTCACGTTTATCAGATGACGCTGACCGGTCATACATCAGATGACGACGTAAACAAAACTTGTTTGCCTATAGACGACGCACCTAAGTAAATTTACTCAAAACAACAGTCAGGCCGCATCGTTGCAAACAAAATAAACATCAATTACGCTTGCCATGTCACAAAACACGTGGTCGTTTTGGAACACAAGCCCACTGACTTGGGGCTGTTCGTCAAGCTAGCAAATTCAGCAGGTACCAAGAGAGATGAAAGGACTTAGAACAGATTAACATGGTTAATGTTACGGCAGATATCGCCGATTTGTTGATAAATGAGGTCGACAAGGTGAACACGCTCCACGTGATCACGTGACTGCTGGTTCAAATCCAGTTAATGGTGGTGGGGTGGGGGTCAGTGATTTCAAAAGCGGCGTCCGATTAGGGCACACGCCAGTGCTTCAATCACATCAATTGCATCAGCTTATCTTGATCACGTGACGGCTGATCTTACACGACTTTGCAAACATGTGTGAGGCGTGGCAAAGCCCTGTCATTTTTCATTTGACACAAAAATAACCGGCTGTTGACAGTAAACATCTTACTCGGATGTCTGCTTGCATGAGAGCAAATTAAAACACACAATTGTTCTACACACGCGTGTTCCTCTGAAACACACCAACTGAATTGTGGGAAAGTTTACGTGAATGAATATCCGTTTGTTGAGTTGAATTCGACAAGATCTGGTGAGTTTTTCCTAACATAGGAGAATAACGACGAACAAAGAGCATTTGGTACTAGCCAATGGCAAACGTCGTTGTAACCCCATTTGGACATTGAACAAACAGAATAGAAACCACGATCACGCGATTTTGGAGGCAATATCGGATAAGGCGACCGCTCAGTGGTTCAATCACACCAATTTCATCATCTCGTCTTGATCACGTGACGGCTGCTTCAAATCAGGCTGATGGTAGGGGACGGGGGTTACCAATGCAAACCCCCTCACCCCCTGATCCGATAACTCTGTTTAAACAACCAGCGCCTGATGAATCCCAATTTGCGATCCACGGTGTTAATTACGGGAAAACGTCAACACTCGGCGTTTGTCGCAGCCGCACGCCAAATTGGGGACACGGTATGGGGGGTTGTGAAAGATTTGGATGTTGCGTCGCGGAATGTACGTGCCACCACAAATGCTCGATTCAGGGTGGTGTCAGGGCTGTTTTTGGACAAGTTCTACCTAGGGTTAGGGTCGGGGTAAGGTGGTTGAAAGAAACCAGAGATGATCACCAAAAGTAACCGCGAATCAGAGCAGATAGGACGAGATCCACAGACTCGATGGTGCACTGCATCAGCACCCACCAACCTGTGGAAGACGACGGGGAGTTTGCAGTCACGGTGGAGTTGAAACGAAGCAGGCGTCGTTGATTTGTTGCAAAACGTGGTCAGCGAGATCACGCCTTGGGGTGAACACGGTCCGCTCGACTGAGTGTCCTCTGGCCATGTGAGGCAGATGATGTTCGCGCTCGTCACGACGCCACCCAGTCACGTGGGTGCACAAAATTGTGCGCACTTCCGACAAGGCGGTGGCGGCGGCTGGTAGAACACCACACAAATTCCGCCCACATAAACCAGTTTTCCGCCAATTCTACGTGTCTACGACGAAATTCGGGAAGAAACAAGGATGCTCGCCTCGAAATTGGCAACCAGTGTTACGAGGAGGTGAGTGGGCATCCCACACTATAACCTCGCAACAGTTGACTTCATCACCCCTGGCTGTCGTTTTCTTCATCCTCTCTCACTTCAAATGATGGTGTCATGTCGCTCACTTGCACGCTTCCTTCAACGCATGTCGTGGCCTGAAAATACTCGTGCTCATCTGAGGAAACTGCATGTGCTACATGGTTTACTGGAAACATGGAAATAGCCTACCTGACAACTTCAGTGATTGTAGACTCTCGGCCCACTCACACCAACTGATGCGTCTAATTGATTACCAATTATGAGGTGTCGTGAGGACAAGGTGCCAGCGTCCATTGAAACATGGAGAAGCGCTAATTAAAACCATAATTGGCAATCTGTCAGTGAATTCAGTCAAGTGGTGTCAAGTAAAGCGCATTAATTAGATGAACAAATGCAATTCAATCAAACCTGGCCTGCCAGTGTTGTCCCATTAAATGTTCGGCATCCGTCAGCCAATTTCGACCCTGTCAACCACATAGGCCATTCAATGTGTTTTCACGACATCAACTCAAACGGCAACGTGATGGAGCGAATTCAGGGCTGTGCGCGCCATGCAACAACACCACTTCCTAAACAGTCTCGGGTAATTTTCCACGAGTTGTCAAACACGTGTGAGGCCTTGAAATGTCGCCGTGGTGCACGATTCCTCGTCAATTCGCTAATTCTGGCAGTTTCCCTTCACCTGTTTCCTACACCACTTTCATTACAGGCTGGCAGCAAAAACACCCGAGTTGACAGTCTGATTGAGTGGAGGTAAACTGGAATGCACAGCTGGATGCACCAAGCATAGAAATAACCACACAGGAAGCGTGAGAGAGCAAGACTCAACTGTTTATCCGATGTCCCAACGAAGTTGTGTGGGTCGCACCACTGCGCATGGCATGTCGTGTCTGATTGATGGGGTTGTTAATTAGCACAGCCTGTATTAGCTTGCAAAAGTACAAATGGCTGGATGGCCAGAGGAACTAAACGGATAGCAGGGCAGTTATCTGCACTGGGGTGTTTGATCAGACGGCTCTGCAAGGTCGTTGGGGAGAGGGTGGCCGTGACAAGTTGAGGGTGGTGAGCCTGAAGATTTGGTGACCGGGTTAGTGGACATGAATCAACACGATTCCCCATGGGGTTCAATCTGGCTCAGCGTGTTTGCAAGATGATAATTTGTGCCCGATGCTGTCGCAGACGATGCATTGCCATCACAAGTGACCACACGTTCCTCAGAAGAACACGAGATGGCGTTTGTGAGGGTGTTTGAGATGCCGGTCGTTGCAAATATTGATTGGCTACACTGAGTGAAATCTATTGTGAGCACAACTACTGAGATTTTTAACGACATCTTATGTGATTTTCAACCACCGCGCCTGTGATGCACTTTACAGCCTCTTCACAACCTCTGTCACTGTAAAGTCACAACGATCCGTGTAAAATTTGGCGTTGGTTTGGTCGTCATCATCACCAACTTCAGCAGATCAGCCAATACGAAGTTGGTCGATTATGTGTGTTAGAACGGATGTGTTTTGACCAATTCTGACATGTGCGATCTGATTGGCAATCAACGTTACAAGCTTCACATGTCTTGGTCAGAGCTTCTGCAGTTTTCCTGTTTTTTTGCAGAATTCTGCCAGATTTGTTTATTATTTATCTAAGGACAAATCTTCACATGTTTGAGGGTGTGCTCTAGTTCTAGCTATCTCCCTGTGACACCACTTAGAGAAGGAATTCGAGGTCACTTAGTTACGCATTATTGACCTATTTTTCTCCAACCTCAAGGCAATCGACTAGTTCACTGTTTGGACAAGATCTGTTTTATCAGCCAATTAGATCGTCGAGTGAAAAGGTTGCGCCTGTGGAAAGACCGTGTCGCCGTCACCGATTTGATGTGGAACCGGAAATTGTGTCTCCGTTGATATGAATTCTTCGACCACGAATTGAGTGGCCTCTTGTGTAGTTACATGATGGCACTACTAGAGATTTTCCCCACAAACACGCAAATCGGCCAGCCGAAATGAGACAGGCAGACTCGTGACGTGCGAAACAGCGGACAAACTGACATCTGGTGTAGGCGTCTCGATTTTCAATGTGATTTATGGTGTCTACGGCAGCCAGGGCAACATTTAGATCAGTCGGTTTTATTGCGGTGGAGTCCAGGATGACATTTGACGGGTCTGCCCAACATTAGCACCGAAAATCGCCATCGGTTCTGTCGTGGCAGACGCAAAAACGGAGAGCCAGTTGGCGGTGAAGCGTCGCCAAGACGGAAACACTTAAACTTACCAACGACTGCTGGTATGACGTTGTTGATCAGTTTTCAAACCACACGCGTGGCGTTTTGACCAATTCCGTCAAAGTTGGTAAATTCTAATCGAAAAAAAATGACTATTTGTGGGTTATCCAATGCATCAATGGACGAATTCCATTTAATCAAATCATTCCAACACTTTTTGCCTTCTCCTTTCCCAAAACAATCCTTTTTAATGCACGTTTGTTTCCCTGGCAATCAGCAAGATCTTATCTCAATAGGCAATCTGTCATACAAACAGAATGCCTGAGAGAGCCTTAAGTGGGAATGCCAACTAATTAACTTGGGATTCCCTGGCCGCTGCTGCGTTGTTTACCTCAAAACGTGCTTATCACGATACCAGCAACATCGGTGACAACTACAGTGGCTTTATTTTGCTTAGGCAGCTGAGACTCTGCTTTGAGGACACCTGGAGTTAATGTGAAGTATCCGAACGTTGCTGGGTTTATTGAAAAACGCCTCGAGTGAGAGACTAGTTCCACGAGAGGTGTTGAATGGGTCTTTTGAGTGTAACTAGGTGCCAAACTACACAGCCGTTGTCGTTACCAGCGCTCACCTTTCGACCCAGTTGGTCAACCGCCTACCGCCCAACTTGGCAACCAGCTGATCTCCAGGTGGTGTGGAAGGCGTCGACTTCGTCGTGTCGCCCACGTCCTTGCCAGATCGCACTCGGAACCTGTTGGACGCCTGCGATTGACCGGAGCCCCGACGAACACCCAGACTAGAACCGATAGGAGGCCCAGGCGTGGGATAGCGACACAAACTGCACGCGTGGAGACCGAGAATGGCGGCAGTCTGGACGTCGGACGTGAGGTCCACGTAGCGTTGGAGGAGGTCGAAGAACTCGGGCGATGAAAGTCCCGTCAGCAGCACCGCCTCCAGACGCCCACCCTGGAGCATGTGCTCAAACGTCGAACGCACGTAGTCGCGCAGCTGCATAGAGGAAGGACAGCAAAACGACCACGTGGTTCAGCTAATTGTGAGGGCAAAAGAAGGCATACAGCAACAGGTAACGAGCTGTCGTACCTCCTGATCGTTGAGGTAGAGGCAGGCGAAAGCCAAGCGATCGATGAGGATGAGATCTTCGTTCTCCTAAAGGGCAGAAACAATATTTTTCTCACCGTCCGCTTTACGGTCAGGAAACGGAGAAGCTTGTTTTAGCCAAAAGATCAGACATCCCGGCCGGACACTCGAACACGTCGATTCACACCTTCTCATGACAACAGGAGACCGGTTTCAGAGAGATGCAGCTGTGTAATCACAGACCTGCACGTGCGTCGACGATTATGAAGCAGGAAACCAGGCAGTGATCTACTAGAGGGAACTCCTCGGCACGACAACTCGGAGCGGAGGCAACTTAGGTGGCTTGCGAGGTGTTGGGTTGGCGTCACCCACTGTAACCATGGAAACATGCCCTGCGGCACTTCTGGTCGATAGACAAGTACAATGGCTATTTTGCAAGGGGGCAACAGTCGCAATGGGCACACCCGTTCCTTCACCAGGTAAAGAGGGTCGTGTCATGAATCAACAGACGCGAAGTTGAACGCATCGCCAAGTAATCCACTACTCGAGTGACGCATCAATCAAAAGTGTACCGGACGATGGAGGATTTTCCGTGGCGTCTAGCCGAAGGAAAATTGCGGTAACTTCGTGGAGCAAAACACGGCACACTGAGCAATTTGTGCGAGACACCCACCAAACTGGGAACCCACCAGGATCTCCTTGAAGTCCTTGATGTCGCCACGATCACCGCGAGAACACGTGAGGAATTTGAACATGAAGCGGAGGTAGGGGTTGTTCAGACGGGCCAACACGTCGGCACAGGTGCTACGCCAGAATTGGTTCCGCGGATCCGAGAAGCCCGAAAGCGCCAGTCCGGTGAGGTCGGTTTCAGTGGCGCTGAGGGCGGAGGAGGCGGAGGCGAGACTAGCGCCATTTCTGTCGGCTTCGTTCGCGGCCGCGTCCCCATTCTCCTTCGACCTTCGACCTAGAGCACAAAAGACGAGATGGCATTTGGAATGTCGATGAAGGAGGAAAAGACCTCACTTGAATGGCTTAATTGGCTTTAGGCTGACAAAAAGTACAAAATGCGCCAAGGTGAGTGAACAGACACACGCACACGCGCATACACACACAAGGTAAAGTGTATTCTCGGACGTGTAAGGGCACGTCCACCGATCCTGCACTTTACCACACAGTTGTCACTGCCCTGCAAATAAACACAATCCAAAACAGCAGTCTTTCTTGACCCAGTAAACAGTCAAGTCTTCACGGCATTTAGCTTTCCAATTCTTCACGGGGCAAAGTGCGTATTTTGCATATTTTACACGGGTACAAGTCATTCGCTCACACACACACACACCAGAAACAAAAATCCACTGAGCACACACGAAGGGATGCTGGACACAAAAGTTGCACACACACAGACATTGTTGGGGATCCAGCATTGCACAAGACGTGACGCTGGACGAAATCTGTGATGATTACTTCCACTGGAGCAGCGTGCACCACGACTCCAGGATGGTTCACGCTTGGGGCCGCAGGCAAGATCCAATCTACCGGGTTCCACCATCACCTCGCTCAGCTTACGAGTCGCCTCCCAGGTCGAATCTCCTAGGGCTGGATTGGTTGAAGCAAATATTTCAAAAATATCCCGATCAGCTCCACTTGCCAAGGCACGCAATCGCTGCCATATCCATCCGTCGATGATAATCAATGAGAAACCACTGCTGACAGAACACTGCAGCGTGCAACTCTAGGCAGATGGCCTAAGCGTTTACGCATCGGAGACTGCAAGCAGTTATACCATCGACGCGAGTCACATTCTGGCCACCCCAGCATTGGCCAAACGAAGTCGATCGCACGCAGCTACGCCTACTGACCACATATGGACCAAAAATTCGCAGACCTAGTCACCATGATACCCTCGACGACCACGACAGCCCCTGGGCACCGGAAACGGGACCATCTGAGGCCTCTCTACACGCTATCTACTACGCCACTTAAGGTTGGAACTCAGGGGAACTAGCGATCTGGAAGTGACGCAGGGATCAAAGGAACGATCACATGCCGACGCGGAAGAGTCAACTTCCACGTGAAGGTGGGTCACGACACGACACACGGATGAGACATTGAACCCAACTCCGCCGAAGGCAAGGCGCGGAGCCACCGAATCGTCGACAAAGCTCAACAGTCGACACCAACCGAAGTCTCGTCAGATCACCTAAACACAGATTGAAGCACAGTGGACGAGCTTCTTCAAGGGGAAGAGGTGTTTTTCGATCCAGCATTCCTTAAGACGGCTCATCATGGGCTACGATTTCGTCATTGTTTACACACTTCACCGAACCACGCCACTTCCGTGTGTGAGTCAACCACAGCTGTGTTAACCAGCCTTGATTCATCAGGTCAAGGTAATCCGTGACTTACATAAGTGGGCACATCCACACAGATCACTCGGTCTTACGTCAGCGTGAGATCGTGGGGTCTAGCGGCAAACAAGGGATCTGGGGTACCTGTTATCTAGGTATGTGGTCTTGGTTACTGGCAAAACGCAACACACGTACACAACTGCACGTCCTATGCAAACACAGTTTACACAAACACACACATCTTAGGCAGAGTAGTACGCAGTTATTGGTTGAAATCGAAGTCAGATATTTCGAAATTCGTGGTGTCAATATCGTTGGCTAGGGCGTTAACACCAAACACGATTAGCCACTGCTCGCACACGACCGTGTTTAGCCATGGAAAGTGTTCAAAAGGATGCAAAATCAGCGCAATATTCGATTGGTGGATCAATCTGACGCAGGCAAATCGACCAATCACGTGGAAGTAGCAGCGGCAGCAGACAAACCCACTCACATTCTGACGCGCGGGAGAGGAAACTGAGCGCCCAGTCGAATTGGAGGTTGATGAGGGCCATCGCTGCTGCCCGCTCGAACTCCATGTCGCCACAAACACTACAAGGGGGGGTGGAAGAGGCACTAGAAAAGTGAGGAAAACTACTGCCACCTTCACAGGCAGAAAAACAAACGAACCTTTCGAAAACACGTCGCTGTGCGTCAGACGAGGCATCCAGCGGCCACATGCACATTCGCAGAATACGGGACCTGGAGAAGAAAGAACAAGTGTTGAGAGTGGGCGGCGCATCTCAGACCAAGGGATCAACCATGTCAACGCCTGAAAACGCGTCAAAATCACACAACACGAGGCACTAAAAGACCACGAACAAATTAGTTTTGTAGGAATCGTTTAGTTCTAGCTCCAGGGACATTTTTGTGCAGGCCCACATGGGACAGAGCCACGCAGAAATTGGTTTGTCGACTCTGATGGGCCAACGCTATTGGTCAGTGCAAAGGTCTCACCTTTCAGGACTGGAATAACGCGGGAAGGTCAGGCTGGCGTCGATTCCGTGCCACTCGCAGCTCTCCGCGACTTCGGAGGCGGCCGCTTTGCCGCTGCAGAGGATCGCCATGGCACCTTGGCAGCGCAAATCGCACGCCCCGGTGCCCCCAGCGCCGACGCGCCCACGCACACCGCCCCAGGGGGTGTCGTGGCCTGAAAGGTGACACAAACAGATCTCCACGCGTCAAAAACCTAGGGAAATCAGAACACCGCGACAACTGTGGTTCATTAACTTTTTTTCTAGTTAGTGAATCCGCTCAAATCTGCTTGTGCTGGTGATCAATACTCAAACGCCACGCGTACGCCATCCTCATTGGTGCGCACAGTGGCCAATCAAATTCCGGGTTTCCGAGAATGGGGTTTATACCAATGTCGTGACCTGAAAGATGATGCAAAAAGACCACCACACTTTAAAAACTCCCGGGGAAATCAGAACACCGCGAAGAATATGGTTCATTAGCTTTTCTTCGAGTTGGTGAACCCCCTCAAATGTGCTCGTGCTGGCGATCAATACTCCAACGCCATTCTCATCGGTGCGTACAGTGGCCAATCAAATTTCGAGTTTCAGGGAATGGGGTTTATACCAATGCCGGTTAAATTAATAGCATGTGACAGTGAACTGGTATTGCATCCACAACCGAAGAGGGGGGAGTTTAATTCGATAGTGCATTACGCAATTGCGGGTGCATGATAAGGAGAACGTCTTGGGTCAATTCTGAGCAAATTTTAAAGTACAAAAACACTTACATTTTCCTGGAGGAGCCCAATCCTCAATGTACTCCTGCAGATCTAAAAGGTGATTGGCTAAGGACAAACAAACAAACAACCACTTATAATGAGGAACTCTGACGGAGAAAAAGGATACACTCGATCAGAACCCACAGACTTCTAAGCTGGGGGTCGTCTGCTACGATCGCCGAGTAAGGCGTATTCTGGACCTGGAAAATAATTAAAATTCCACTTAAAAAGAGGACGCGAGATAAGGCTGAAACAAAACGCACTGCTGAGATGGATTTAAGTAGTAAGCTTGCCTCGAGGCCGTAACCGGCATCGGCTCGCCTCTGAATTACCGAGTCCAAGTTGTCACCCAACTTCGCTGCCACCTTAGTAAACCCATCAATTATCGATTTATTGAGATTAGACGACGTCTTCAGTCCGTCTGACTTGCCTCGACGCGAGACCACGTAGCCCCTGGGACCAAACAAACCCGTCCGATCCAAACCGAGCCATGTGGAACCACAAGTCCAAAGCAACGTGTGGTTGGGCGACCAGGTCTACACAAAACAAAACGACACGCCATTAAATCGGTGACCCATAATCAAAGACGAATCAATAATGCCGCCAACAAACACGGCGACTGAATGAAGTGGCGGTGACTTACGACGGCAGTCAGCTCGTGGACCTTGGCCACATTGAGACACCCTGCCCGGTCGATGGTGATTATGCAATTAACTATCGATCCGTGCCAGGCAAACGACACGAGCGGCGTTTCACTCTTCTCAGAGGCTGCAAGACAAGAAATTCAGGTGCGTCAGTTGGCCTATCGGGAAGAGTAGGTCTAGGGAAATCGACCAAGCTCACATGTTGTGGCTCTCAGCTCAAAGAGGAACTGCTCACACTCCTCCATTGGTCGAATGAAGGTGGCCTGCGCGTTGTACACCCGAACGTCAGTGGAGTCGGCCAGCAAGACGCCTAGCCAGCCTTCCCTGGTAAACAAAAAGACAAACCCAGCCGGTGTTGGTTTGAGCCCCGTAGAACGTCGGTCTAGGTTTGCGAGGATAAATTCTTACCTTAGGTGGCTCCATTTGATGCAGACAACATTTTTTCGCTCAGTAAATACGTATATCTTGGGTGAATGTAGGTCAAGGAAGGTTTGGCACAGAGGCGATGGCAAAGACAACCAATGACAACACGTGAACAACAACATTACAATCAATATAGCGCGAAGTAATACTTGTCACCAGAAAAGGATACCGGTTTCTCAAGATTGTCGGAGCACCAGAGGCCAATTTGATTCTGGAAAGAGAACTACGAATTAGCAACATGTTCAAACATCAGAATTTGGGATTTCTGAAAATAAAAAAAAGAATTCTTGCCTGATAGAAGGAGGCAAATCGAGTTGGAAACAGCGGGTCGGAAGTGAGGGAGTGCACTAGTCGGGTTTGGGTCACCTGAATAGTTTTTGCGGTGTCTGGAATGCAAAACGGAGCCCCAGCAGCATGTAAGGATGATTCACTAATGAAACGCTTTTAAAAATAAATGAACGCTGTAACATTTCTCGTACCAATTGTTAGAATAAACACGTAACAGACCAGTAATAAGACAGGAAACAGAAATTGATTACCGACTTCAATTCAATCTACGAACTAGACAGAATTCGTGTTAACGTAGTTATTGCAATTGATAAGATAAAGTGCAGCATATATTTTTTTAAAAAAAAACTTACCAGAAATGTCATATAATTTAATGTGCTTGCTTAGAAGGCCAACAACAAATGAGTTTTTGGATACCCAAGTAAACGAGACAGCATTTTCATTCTGGCCTAGAAAGAATAAACGTGCGTTTAGCAAAACGGTCTGACAAACGTACTGAGACACACAACGAAAACGACAAGTGCAATGAAGGAGGTTGAGGAACATGTCACGTTTCTGCTGGAAAGCGTATCTGCAGTTACAAAATACTCACATGCATCACAGAGCGGGCGATCACAAATCACCTGCAGCTGTTTATTTTTGGTGTAGCTGTTGACAGCGAACTTGTCCATGTTGTAGAGGGAATCGCCTGGAAAGCCGTTCGCGAACTCACTGCTAGAGGTTGTACTGTATGGCTGTCTTGTTCCCGTCTCCCTAACAACATCCCATACAAGAACGGAGGGTGCACGATTATGCCTCCCACGATCAAGACCTTGAGCAAGCTTAAAATAGGGAAAAACAGGAGCACTACATTGGTGCCAGTTTATGATAATTCGACGTAAAAAAGGGACTTACGAGATTTGTTCTCCATGGATTCCAATGCAGAAAAGCACAGTATCGATTGGCATGTGAAACTAGTACAAATTTGTTGCGAAATGAGACTTACTTAATTCCTTATTGTTGAGGCCAAACTGATCTTGACGAGGGTCAACATTTTGAAGGCTAAATTAGTAAAGTGATGTTTATTTGACAAAATGTACCTTGACAATTTCACATTTCCCGATGAAAGGCCCACAGCAACTAAGTATGGTGGATTTATCGAGGCCTCATTTTGGATGTCTAAACATGGTTTCCAGGCAAATGCCTGAAGTATTAAGTGCAAGGAAATCCTGTTTTACTTTTGCACTGTCTGGTTCCCCGTATGCGTTCAAAAGTGTCAGCTTAAACTTATATTTACCACCGATCACTTTGACTAAAAAATTTCTTGGTGCTAAGATTAACCCCTACCTTTCTGGCGCTGTTCGTTAACAGCCCCATCGAAGTCGGTTATTTTAAACAAAAAGATAATATTTTTGAAAACGACGGAGAATCTATCCTCGTGATTTGGGGACCAGATAATATCTGTAATACTGGCCATAGCTGGAATGCAAAGTAGCCAATGCAAAATGTGCACTGAGGTGAGAAGCTATGAATACTGGTTAGAAGGTGATTGGCCATTCACTACCCAATTAATTTCACATAATTTACTGGCTTAATTCACGAAAAGGGATAGTCGTGTAGGCGTGACTATACCATATTTTTAGTAACTTAACCACAAGGTAACTAAAAATTTACTGCCTATGATCATTTTTGAACAAACTGTGCCTATTTAAGTATGCATGAGCAGACACGATGCAAAGACAAAATAAAACCACTGCGGATGAAGAATTTGTCACGGATGCCATATCGGATGCTGTCCACCTAAATGTCAGAATTCTACTTTTTCTAATAAATCTAAGTTTACACCAATCACGTGACACTTTAACCTTTAAATTTATTATGTTCATGTACTAAGGTCAAAAGCAGATCACAGCGTCTTTTAAAAGTCGGATTTTTTAAGAATTATTGTGGAGCGAGAGGTGTTGCAAGGTTTCTTAACGGTGATCTCCTAAATAAAAGTTTTATGTAAACAGGCATTAAAAAGGTCTGCAATCCATTGGAGATTTAGCAAACCAATATATGTACTCGCTCCAACTGAGGGAATTAAGGGACTTGGCATTTGATCATTCCTTCTGTAACCATCAATATAAACCATGCGCTAGTATAGAACAATTTTGGCCGCAGTATACTTGGCTTGAAAGCAAAGACTAGAAGGCAAACCATATTCGCTTACTGGATTTCTCTGAACTGAGTCAACATAATTGCATTTTTTTAAAAATATGCTGAAAGAGTAACACATCAACATTATATCGACATTCAATCTTGTTTGATTTTAAGTGGCATCTTTCGGATGGCAGGTGATGATCGTTGACAACACGTGAATAAAACCAAAAAAGATGCAATTTAATGCACTGCAATTATAAATAATTTCCGGATCACTAGCTTTAATATACGTCTTTAGCAAACCCGTAATATTTTGCCTGTTTGACCCATTGTTTCAATCTGTTGTCACCCATCGCTTGTACAGGTGACTGCAAACTGGATTTTATTCGAGAATAGCCTAGGGCAGAAAAGTTATGTACCCTTAACCTTTGCCAACAAGGCCCTGCAAGTACTTTTTAAGTGACTGTTTAAAGAGTCTTAGTCCAGTTTAAGATGTAGGCAACCGAAACTTCATCCCATAATTTAATGAATAAAATTTTTTTCTGGTGTTTTCTAGATGTATACTTTTGTTCGAAGTAAAAGAATGACCGTTTTAATAATTATAATGTGAAACTTACATTTATTGGTAATTTGTGAAAGCTCGTGGTTCAGGCACTAAAATTTAAATTAAAAAAATGCTCGAAGTAAATGCTTTTTTAACATGCGTGGTTAACTCGGTTTCTTGAATAACTTTTTTTTTCATAAAATGGACGACGAATATGTCTATCCAACAATCGCTTCGTGACACATGTATACTCTCGTAGTTTTGTGTGGCATTATTACCGTTTGTAGCATCAGGACAAATGCAAGTTTAATTATTATTACCCAGTTTATAAGGATTATGGTTTAGGTTTCCTCTTACAAAAACCGACTTTAGTAAGTCACCTAGTTCACCGTTAATCATTTTTTAGATAGCTTTAACTCTAAGTTAAAAAAAACTACTTTTATAACAGATTTAGTGAAACTAAATTTTATGCGAAGCACCTTAAATTTTAATTATCATATTAGTGTCGCCACTTACATACGGTTTCGTTGTAATCACATGCAATTAATTTAGAAGGAAGCAGGTTTGAGTAACACCTTTTCTTTAAATTATGCCGAATATCGTTTGGCAGAAAGATTACAAATGAATGGTGCTTAATATTGCGTGTATTTTAATTTAAAAAAAATTGATTTGGCGGACACGGTAGCCCAGCTGTTTTGCTTTATGACCCAACGGTACAAATTAGTTGCAACTATGGTTGCTGTGATAAACTAGACAATCTAATTACCGATTGCCGCTTTGCGAGTAATAAAATTGTTAAAAATGCTCTACCAAATTACAGTTAGTCTCTGATCTAAACTGCTCTTTTTATTTATGGAAGATATACATAGACAGGTTTGCAGACATAAACTAAAATGCATTTTTAGGTTGAATACATAATGGGAAGAGTGGCGAATCTTCCCGTGGCGGAGCGGCAGTTGCTTCTTGATAAAATCAAAAGGTCTATTGATCAAACAGAAGCCATCTGCTCAAATAAACTTGGTGATAATTCAACATTGGAAAATGAACCCAGTTCCTTAGAACATTCAATGAGTAAAGACCTTCATCAGGTGATTTTTATGTGATCATTTTTAAAATAATCGTGCGACTAAGAAATTTAGTAGAGGTTTAATGTAATGGGCATAATTAATATTATTATTCTGTAATGCCATTATTTTCTGTCCACTAAAATCATTCTTTGCTCATTTTTGTGCGACAACGGAGCCTCAATTTAGTCCATGGAAATAGGTTTTCAACTAGTTGCTAATGAATTGATCACCCATGACCTCTGATTTGCCGTGGTCGACTTGAGATTTGCTTAGCTCGAAATTTCTTCATTATAATTTGAGTTTTTTTTCCAACTCTCAGCTAAATGTATGCATTTTTAAATCACTGCATGATATCTTTCCTGACCTCTTGATTTCTGGCTATGGCTTTTTAAAATTTGGTGCATCTGGTCCAAGCTGTTTCGAATGTAACAATACGTTTGTCTTGTCTACTTCCTTTAAGACAACTCCACCAGTTAACCCACCATCTAGAATATCGACGCTCCCTTTTGAGAGAAAACTCTCTTCAACCACAGCAATCAGGAGAAGAACCCCGCTCGCGAATAGGTCTCAACTGGTCCTTGCTTGTCCAGTGTGCGAGCTCAAAGCAACCAGCTGGCAAAAGTTTTCCCACCACCTGCACATGGGCCACAACCAATCCTCCGTCACATCAGTCTGTCGTCGTTGCCATGGCATGTTCCGCAACCACGCTCTTCTGCTGGCGCACGAATGCTTCCGTTGGGGACGCATGAACCTCCCCTGTGCGGCCATCTACTCATCAATTGACGACTCCCCAATCCTCAATGACTTTGGCTTTCCTCGTGAAGGTGTCTATTTGGAGCGGCGTTGTGGCCTTTGTCTAACGTCGGACGTAATCTACTCCAACTTTGAGCAGTATGAAAGGTGAGAAGATTTGCTTCTTTCGTTGTATGTCGCAAACTCTATCCTACCCACCGCGACAGATTTCGGCATTTGTGTACGAAATCCCTTGCGTGAAGTTCTATGTCTTTACAGACACAAGTATGAGGAGCACGCTGAGACTGGCTCGAAAGCACCAAACTGTGACATCCAAAGACCTCAGAACAAGAGCTTTCAAGTACGTTTTCCCCTTTCGGTTTCGCCTACATTCCACTGTCTGTGAGATCACAAACGCTACTTATTATTAGTTAGTAGTGGTTACTTGTCGGCGTCTTGTGTCTCACCGTAGGCCCCGGTCAGTGCTCTGCTCGCTACAAAACCGCGTCGCAATGCCAGGAAGCCTAAAATCGACAAATCGGTCCCCCTTGAAGGCAACGCTGTGGACAATCAAGCAGCCAAGACCCCATCGACCACAACTGGCATTGAAGAGGTAATTCTCCACAAAAGACAAGGAATTCGTTGGCAACACTCTCCACGCGATCTTAGATGCTCTCTCTCTTTTTTTCAGAGGGTCGTTGTCAGTAAGGCTGGCACGGTGGCACCGGCGGCTGTGACGGCGTCGGACACACCCCTTCGCTCGGCCGTCCAGGCGTCCTTCGCCAGGGCCTTCTCGTGTCGCGTCTGCAACCTCTTCTTCCGCACTCAGGAGCGTCTACAACGCCACGAGCGAACCTCCATTGTTCACAGCAGACGCGTGAGTTGCATGACATGGCGCTTTACACGAATTCCACCGAAGGCTGAGTGCTTCTTAATCCTGCGAATCAGTTTTTGTAGCGCTCTTGGTACCACCGTTGAGTCGTATAAAACGTGCAATGATTGGTGCAAGCCTCTTAGATGTGGTGATATTGATTTTAATGGCCTTGAAATTTTGAAGATGCGGAATCGTGGGCTCTACTGGATGAAGACTCAACGCAAACAAACCACAGGCTTGCGGCTTAGTTAGAAGTTACCCGAACACCACCGCCTGGGAAAAATTCAAAGCATGTGTTGACCGAATTCAGCCTGTGTCAACGCATGAAGACATGCCGTTCACTGCTTGCCTGTCGGCAACAAAATAAGACATTGGGATGGGTGATAAAAAGTGTACTTTTTTGCGAGAATCCCACTCGCGACTCATGGGCATTGATGCCGAAACAGGACATGCTCTTGACGAAGGCTCTCCCTTGTGTATCTGGTGGGGCATGAAGGGAGTACTTTCTTACGAACTCCTGGAAACTGTGGCTGCAGAACGCCGCGGTTGACAATTGAACAAGCTGGGCAAATGTCTGCGTGATCGGACAACAGGTGAGTCATACTGATACTGCATGGCAACGTTAGATCCTCTTGAAATTGGGATGGAAATTTCTCCCACACGCGCCATATTCACCAGACTTGGCCTCATCCGATTCCCGTTTGTTCCGGTCAATGCAGCAGCAGCAGCAGCAACAGCATGAATTCGTCTTCAATGACTACCTTGTTGCCTCGAAGCCTGCAAGTTTCTTTCAAAATGGCATTCGTACGTTTGCTGAGAGACATCACAAGATCATAGAAAGTTAATGTTGCTATTTTTGGACATTAAATTTGCTAAAAATCTGTGAAATCAAGTCATACACCAAATAAAACTATCTGACCTTTTCCCCGTGTCCCCCCATTCAATGACTCTCACCGAACTACCGTGATTTGTCGTCACTAAACGACACCCAGAGCCGATTGGTCATCGCTATAAACGCTGCGTCTAACTTCCATCTTCCATGGCACTGGTAGCTTCTGCTAGACGATAATCTTGAAGCCTTTGTCGAGATTTCCACTTCGTCGTTGAGATCTCCGATTCAGAGATCTTCAAAAACAATATTTATCCTAACACCGAGATTCAGTCGATTCATCTAATCGTCCCAGTTCGAGTCCCTTCCATTTTCAGCGTTTGCGCCAACAACTCCTGCCGTTACAAACATACGTACATGCCTGCGTGCCTGTGTGCGTGCGTGCGTGTGTCTACGAAGTTATCTAACACTCTGGACCACAAGCTGATGGCCAGTTGTTTTTTTCTTGCTTTCAGCGCGGCCGCAACAAGCACGTTCTCCCGTTTTTTTTTATGTCGCCGCCAGACAAAACAACAGTTGTCGATTGCGGCAAGTGCCACCTCGGCAACATCTCGTGGCGGAAAACGAATGTGTTGCTTACGTAAAACAGACCAAAAATTCGAAACTTCTTGTCGTTGAAGTGGATTTGAGGCCAAATTTGATGCTGCTTTCAAGAACTAACTTGATTAAGTACCCTCTTTTGGCCAGCCCGTACTGGTAGACTTTGATGGTGGTCAACCCTACTTGATCGATTTAGCAGTAACTGCGCGCTGATTGGTCAGTGAACGTGCAGTCACGCTTGTTATGCTGGGGTTTGTTTGAGGAAGCATATTTCGTAGATTGTCACTGCTCAAAACTGCACCACCTCACACAACGGCACACAATGTGGCCACCCGTCGGTGCAGTAATCGGCATTGTTAAATTTTATTCACAGATGACCACAACAGTGTAATCTACAAGACCACCGAGGCCTCAATGTCTACGTGTTCCATGAACTCGTTTGGATTGGCCTTGCATTACTCGCTGATGCGTCTGGCGACGTTAATCAACCGTCGCCGAAGGGCATCGGGGTAGTCGATCGTTGATTGGCTGGACGTTGCCGATACTGTGGACGCGTCGCCATCACTGTCCACGACGTTTGCCAAGCGCTTGTTCGTTCAGTTTGTGTCAACGGGCTTGCATCTAGTGTTTGTGCTAATTCCACATTTGTGGGTGGTGTTGTATTTTATAAATGAATCGTATTTCCACAAAGCACCATAGCTCATCCATTTTAGGCGTTCTGGAACCCCAAAACGATTTCCTTCTGCTGCGTCCAGTGCATTGCAGTGCGAGAGAGTAGAAATTGCACTCGTCAAGTCAATTTCGCGCTATTCAGAAAAGTGAATGAATGGACCAGAGATGGCTTGGCAGATAATTAACTGCCTTTCCACTGACAAAGTCACAGACGTGATGTATAATTAATCAACGGATGCGTTCACATGCTGGTGGGGCGTTTCTATTGGGTGTAATTTCGAGATTGTCAGGAGATATTCCTATTGTTGGTTCTTCCCTAGTGGCAGCATTGTTTTCGAGAGCGTGGAGGTACGTTCGCGGCGAATCGAATCGATTTGCGTGCAAGTAAGAGTTCACAGTGTTGTAGATCAACTGTGCTGTAGTCTTTTCTACCCAAATTCGAGCATCCACGGCTGCACCTACTGTGACCCTTTCATTCGTAGTCAGGTGATATCCTAAATGTTAGAAATTCGGGCATCCTAGCAAGGTAAATGCTTCTATGTTCGTAGTGTTCAGGTGGTGGTGATCAACTGTACCTTTATTAATGAGACTAAATTCGTTGGAAGACGGCTTTACGAATGTTTGTGAAATTTCCCAATCAAATCAAGTCCTCATTTCAACATTCCAAGAGGCGGTCAAACGGTTCGTGTTCTCATAACGATTATCCCACTACCTCGTGTCGATCCAAACAAGAACTGTGTCTTTAACTATCAAAAAACAACCAGAAACGACATTTCTTCGGTGCACCACAGATGGGAATGACTAAAAAAGCAGCAGACGTCCAATTTGAAGGTTCGGCTCACGCGAGAGCCAAAAGACTTTCGATCCTCCACACTACCTCAGATGAGATGGAACCGATCTGACACTTCACCTCACCTCACGTGACAGCAAACTCCACTTAACGGCGACGTGGTAGTTCGGTTAACCGAAATCCACTCTGCGACTTCATTTCGACGGTTGCTGGAGTGGTCCATCTGGTGGGGAGGATTGAAGCTACTTGTCGCCACGTCGCCGAACCTAACGGCCATCCGACCTACGGCAAATTGTGGCGCTCTGAAGGCGCTTAGGATCGTTTCCACCAAACCACTGGCCACACCGACCACCTCCAAGGTGACCCTTGCGTGGTCAACTAACACGCGAAATCTAGGACACGTTAATGGCTGGTTCTGCAATGCACTTACACTGCAATACACTGCAACGTACACGTTCACTGTCAGTAACACACGAAGTAAAAAAAAACACAGCCGTCGGCGTCAGACACTGTCTTGTTGCTGGTCAAACGCCGAGTATCCACTCGCCGAACTCCAAAACGGCTGAAAGGTGGTGTTGCCGGTGGTCTCGTCGAAGGCACTCGTGACAATTGGCATGAGCGAGAGGCAGTCGGAAGTGGGGAGTGCGTGTAGCTCGGAGGTGGAACTCGGCACCGAGTCGTGTGGGTCCACCAATGACACTCCGCTGGCCCCACTTCCACCGCCAATCAGATAGCCCACAGAGAAGTTGCTGCTTCCCAGGGCCTGGCCCCGATCCGGACTCATTCCACCAGCGTCGCCACTCAGGCCTGGTAGAAAGTCACACATGAGATCCTCACCGCCATGATTGGCCGTGCCAAGGTCATCATCCACGCCATCGTCTCCTGGCCGCCAAATGTGATTGGCCGATGGGGCTGGATGTGTAGCGGTTTGGTGTTCCTCGTCAGTGCTGACTGGGAGGAAGCAGGTGAAGGCGTTGGCGGAGGAGGAGGTGGTAGAGGAGAAGAAGTCCGTGACACACGGAAGCACGGGCTCCCTGGGCGGTTCTGGAGGGGGGATTAGGAGGGTGTCGTCGGGCACTGAGGTGGGATTTGCTGGAACCCACCCGTTCTCCGTCTCGTAGGCAACCACGTAGACCGGCTGAAGTGGTGGCTGAACTGAACAGAGTCGATCATCGATGCCTTTTCCGCTCTAGGAGGGCCAGAAAGCAAACCCATTTCAAGTGCAACCGGTGAGCTTCCACGCCACCCGCGTGAAACATGAACACACATCCACACTTACACTGTGCTCCTGGACTGGGTCATAATTTCCAAAGGCGTGCTGGTCTATGTGTTTCTCACCGGCCTGAACGGCCCACAGATCGTCAGCTTGGTGAAGCGCTGCGTCAGGCTGAGCCACTTCGGTGGCGGTTTTGTGATGCCTCGGGCGTTTCTCGCCCTCCTGTCTGACAATCTTCTGGGGTCGTCCACGTGCCCGCTTGTTTTTGGCGTGAACCGAGGCCTTGTGGCGTTTGAGATTGCTCATTCGGTTGAAGGAGGCATCGCAGAGGTTGCAGAGGAAGGAGATGTCTGTGTGGGTCTTCTGGTGACGGCTCAGAGTGCCCTGTGTCTAAGTGAGGAGAGAGATGGTGGGTAGGTGCACCGCAACCAACCACCTGATAGTATTGATTAACGCTGGCGGGTCAACGCGGCTGGAGTCGCCTCAATCGCTAGCCCGCTTTACAACCGATTTCCTTAATCATCCGCGATTCACACACTAGATAACGGCCATATAGACAACAACAACCTCCCTTTTGGGCACTCCCCTACAATCGTCGGAATGTTTCCTAACTTGAAGCAATAAATTATGCCCTTAGACCACGAAAACAAGCAAGACAAGGCAGGAAATGGGTGAGGAGGAGGAGGAGGAGGTTGCCAGAATCGTACAAAGTTGCGCAGATGACCTTCTGTGTGGAGGTAGTTGAAAGTAAACACTTTGACATGGCGCGTTTATCAAACGGGTTGTGATTGGAAAGAGGTAAGGGGATAGGCACTGAACCCCATTGGTGGAAACGACAGGTCTGGAGAACGAGGCCTCGATTTGCTCCAATGTGACAGACCAGAGAAACCGCGCTGAGAGTCTGAATAGAGAAATAGGCTTCCCAGACAAACACGACTTGCACGTCTTGGGTGTGAACAGCAGGTAATATAGCTTATGTGATTGGTCCAGCAATGAGTGTCTGCAAAGGGGAACCTCAAACGCACACCGCTGGCTGCGAATAACAGGATCAGACGATGCTGAGGGCAGGTCATTGGCAGATTTGGTGAGATTACAAGTGTCCTGTGGACTTGGAGTTGCTCTTAAGTGGCCAAACGATCAAATCAGTTGTTTGCTATCAGCAGCTAATAAAACTGGCTCCAATTTAGATCTTCCACGATCTACGAATCATGAAGCTGTCAGACGGATGGCAATTGTGTTAGCTCATTTCCTGCACTACAAATTGAGTTTTATTACTTCTCCGTGGAGATTTTACATTTTGCTCAATTTTGAGGTGGAAATTGCTTTAAATGAAGTAAACAAGGTTGCCAAACAATCAGATAAAACCTAGTTCTGGCAATTCGCGGTTTATGAGCGAACAGGAACAGTTCACGAGTCAACTGAAGCTCCACTGTGACTCTATATAAAAAGGCTTAAAACGTAATTGGCCTCAGCAATCAACTCAAACAACCACAGCTGGCGAGTTTTTCGTTCGAAGTCTCTCGATGTTTTGTTTCACTAAGCAGCGTGGAATGCCGAGAAGGCGGCAAAAAACAGCCGCACAACACACAGAACACACGGAGACCGAAACACTATACAGAGAGGAGGTGCCGAAATGAAAAGGTTAGGCGCCGGGTGATATGAAATTAGCCGAAGGACTTCCAACAGGGGTAATTGATGTCGACGCTGATTGGCCAAGGTCTGTACGCGAAACGCACAAATCAATAATCTAACCAGGAGGTTGGAGAAGTTGGCATTCCACAGTCGAATCGACCGCCCTCATCTCATTGGCTCAGACCCTACCTCCCGTCGAGGTAGGGTGGGACAGGCACCAATCATGGATTAGCCACCGGGCAGCGAAAACGACGACGTCCACATTTGGCCAAGATGCCAAATCACAACAAACGGAATGGAAGATACTGCCGCTGTTCTTCGACCACTTATTCGGCTGGCCTTTGTCGGTTAAAGATCACTTAATTGTTGCACCATCTGTGTGTGTGTGTGTTTGGCCGAATTACACGGGGTTGTGGCACGACGGGGTTGCGAAAAGACACATTTGGCAGAAACCACGACGGTTCTACGCCATATGGTCGAAAGATGCGCAATCACATGTCCGTTTGCACGAGCACATGAGGGCTCCATTAGTCACTCGCTGTTGCAGCCCACCACCACTTTGTTTTCTTCCTTTTTTCACGCTTTTTCACACAAACAAAATAACCTTGAAGTCGGCTACCTGGGATACCGGATGTCTCAAAGTTTCCATTGTCAAATTGACGAAACCAAAACACACTTTGTCAATGGTACCCACATAACTCGCGTCCAAGGTGGACATTCCTGTCCGCGTGCCGCGCAAAATCAGGAGTTCAAACAAACCAATGAAGTTGCAGGGTGAGCGTGTGCGTGTGTACCTCTGGCTCGAAATTAGAACCGACTCACCAACCGGGACACGAACGGTCCACAAAAAAAAATTATTCGTCCATGTACAGCCACCGCGCTAAAACTGGCAACGACTTGCAGGTGCGAGCAACCGCCAATAAAATTTTGAATTTGCCCTGATCATGATGTATTTTGAATCAAGGGTTCGAGCGACATCCACAACTCAACCAGTAGCGCCGGTTATTCAAGGTTAAAGCCGCTTGACACGAGAAGGAGAAGTAGAAGACAGAAGGTTGAAGTTAGCAGAAACGCGAAGTACAAACACCGCGTCGATGATTAGATGCGCTAAAGCGTACTTCCGACGGGAGACTGCAATGACACCTGATGGCTATCGCAATCACGTGCTGGGCATTTCGTTCTAATTGCACCACCTAGGCATTGAAAACTGCCTGCAAGCGACGATTTGAAAACGAAGCGATATCACAATGCTGGTACAACACGTTGACTTTTACACGCGAGCAGGGGTACAGAGCCCATAAAACAATGTGGTCGCTTGACGTGCTTCCTCGTGAATCTGAGATTACCTTGGCGACGATGCCTCGACCTTGAACATTACTGGAGCTCATCAACGCACTTTGTTGATGCCCAAATCAACACCTGCTACTAATTTGAGCAAATTACTCGGCCGTCAACCTGGAGTGAAAGTGATCTTGAAGTCAGCTCCAAATTGACAATGGGTAAAATCGCGCGCGTACAGAACCAACACACCTTGTCAGTGGCATCCACACAACTGGCGGTTTAAATTTTACTGCTAGCGTAGACAGTGCGTTGCGAAGAACACGAATGACGCCTAGGTGAAGGAGAATGGCAACGCTACCGAAATTCTCCACAGAGAAGGCCTAAGAACGCGCGCGCATTTCACCGACGTCAAAAACGGAGTCGCGGTTTATGGTTGGGGCAGAAAGTGGTGAGTGAGTGAGCACTTAACTGGTCAAGTGAGAGCAGGGCTCTCGCGCCAGCCGTGTCCTAAGTGACTTTACTCAAGACGACGTGAGATTTGGGGAGAAAAAAACAGGCAGGCAGGCGCACACTCGTGCATTTTGCTCAAAAATGCCCCTGTTTTATGCATGTGAGCTAGTCGCATTTCAGTGGTCTTGTATTTAGAAAAAAAAACTGGTTTTTGCACTGGGTCTTTTTAAGAGGTGACATGTTAATGAAACCCAACAACGTAAATGTACTAGTAAAGTGGACAGCTTGAAAATGCATTCTCACATGGCAACAAAGCTGTGTTCACACCTAGGTAACCACAAGAGGTCCTTCCGAACAAAACCCACGACAGTTGTAGCGGGCAAAAAGTTGAAGGCCAATGAAATCGCCTCGAACAGCAAACTGGTCTGAGAAAGCGTGTGGAACAACAAAGGGCCAAATCAACTCCAATCACCCGCCCCACGCCAAATCAGGAAATGGCAGACAACTCGCAGACAGTAGACTCAGCCAGTGCAAAAATAAGACGATCGGAGGCTTGGTAGGGCGCGGTATTGGCTCCGGCAGGCAAAGAAGTGGGGGAACAGATGGGGGAGGGGGTTTGGACGGAATCCCCGAGTTGGCAAGACGATGTTGTGAATCGTGTTTATACACACTCCTTAATCCGGTCGCTCCATCCTCCGACACAGGGTTCCCCTTTTCGCAGCGTGTCGCCAGCCGCGCGGATCCTCGATTTCCCCCTCATTCGCATGAATATTCATCTTGGATTATCCTCACACATGGGTCTCGATGTTAGTGCATGTATGGCTCATGTATGACTCACTCGCGCGAACCCCACACACGACACAACGACACCAACGTGGTTGAGCCCTGAAGTAAACGGTTGTGTCCACGTCCTCTCCGGTCTTTTTCTTCATCGCTGGTACCAGGCGAGCGTAATCGGGCCAGAGTTAATTCCGTGGCCCCGGCGTGGTTCAAGACCACATGCTGACAGCTCCATGATTTCTCGACTATAGGCAGTCAACCTGGCGTAAAAGTTCCAGCGCTTAAAAGTACAGAAAACATCGATTCGGAGAACCAAACAGGTATTGAAGAGTACCCGTGAAACACGATTAGTCTACGACATGACAGTACATAATCGAATTGATAGTTTTGCGGCATTCTATGTGGTTTGTACTAGTCCATCGCGGTCAGTGTAGTCGGAGATCATTCACGTGGCAGCACCAGTGATTAATGGCTTCATAGAGAGGAGTTTGACGCCTGTGACGTGTCCATTGCCAAAACTGATTGGTTGTGATGGGCGACTTTCGGTGAATTTGTGCCAATCACAAACACCGAGTTTCTTGAAGTGCCAGTGATGTCTGTTGTACAGTTGTATTATAATCTAATTCGATCCCTCAGCAATTTGGCAAATCTGATGGTTCTCCTTTGACCGGCCCCCAATCCAGTTCCACTGGTTGTTCACCGCAAACAACGGCGGAATTGATCGTTTGGTTGCGTGGAAGCAGATCAAAACGCACAACGCACTTGTGGTCCCGCTAAATTAACCTCAAAGCACGCTTTTTTTGGCAGTTAGTAGAATTCTATCTGGTCTGTGCTGAAGACGCTGGTTCGTTGTGAGGTTCCTATAATTCTTTAACGTCGCGTACCAACATGATCCGACTAATTGATGGCTTTGATCAGGTTCAGTAGGTCACCTCTTGGCAAAAACCAGACACGTCGGCTCTTTGTGCAAAGAATTTGGGTTACGCGAAGTTCCAAGAGACTGCAAACAGGCATTTATAGACACAATGGCCCTGGGACATGCTGGAAGGGAAAAAGAGACAAAAAACCACACACACACACACCTTGAAAGTAGCCTGACAGTCGGGGCACTTGAAGTCGCGTTTGTCGCTGTGTTTGAAGCGCACGTGATCGGCCAACTCCTGCTTGGTGATGCAACGGTGGTCGCATTGCTGAAATGGACAGCAAAAAAAGAACACACGATGAACCACGAGACGAAGATCTAAATAGGCGATATACACAGCAGGAGATAGAACTCACGGATGAAATAGCAAACCCTATCGCCTCATAAAGAAGCTGACGCGAGTTTTAAATACCAATTACCCCAAGTTGGGTGAAATGTAATGTCTACAGCCGTGGCTGGCCACTTCGCCAAGACGCACATTAATTGTCAAAAAAATTGCCTTATTGACCGTAGAACCGTGGTTTTATCGGGCTGTTTTTGCCTAACTACACGAGGGAACAAGAGCGGGCTTTTCGTAAGGTCAGAATTCTCGTCAAACAACCAGATGAGGCGACCTCCAACACATCCAACGCCTGCATGGGGTGAGGGGTAGAAACCAGTTACAAGTTCCATAAAACGAACCTTAATCGACATCCGCCAGACTGGGAAAACAGATTTGGAGGATGTCGATTTAGCAAACAATTTAGAAAACAAACACTGAGACGCCAAAAAGCTGCAAACGGAAAGGACCGCATCGCATGCGGTCTGTTCGGTTTTTTCATTTTGGTCGGCGACGTGTCTAAAAAGAGATCCAGGGAGTGAAAAGGCTGCGCCTTTCCCCGGGATAATACCTCATCAGACTACTGTGATCGCCTGAAGACCGGCCTGTGTAGGCGGTTTTCCAGATCGACCCATCCGCGATCCAAAAAACGGACGACACGGACAGTGCACTTGGTTGGACGGTTATTTTTCTCTCCTTCTCCTAACACGAAAGAGGAGGGTGAGGAGGAGAAGGAAGAGGAGGAAACCCACAAGATACCCTCACCAATCGAGGCATTTACGAGCGACCGAACTTTTAGCATAATGCATACATTTACGCAAACAACTCCCCCCCCCACCACCACGTTGGCAATTAGCCCATTAAAGGCGCGCGCACACAGCAGACACAAGACATTAACTCCCACACTCGCCTCTATTTGACAGCGACGATAAATATTAAGGTGGCATGTGAGTGGTGGTGGTGGTGGTGGTGTCGGTGGTGGATGCACTTTGTTAGACAACGTAGTGAAACAAGTTGGGTGTTTTGAGACAATTGGACGCGTCGCAACAAGGCCAAACACACACGGTTAGGTGACCACATAGGGACCGCTTTATCAGTCGGGTTCAAAGGTGTTTTATGAAGTCACGGTGTCAAATACACTCGAATAGAGCTTTCACGCACAAAGCGTAGTGAAACAGACCAGCTGTGTGGGCGCGTGTGTGAAAAAGGATCAAATACACACTTATGTACAAAAATACACACACACACACACACTCAAATCGACTCGACTCCTCCGCATTTTCTACAACCGTCTCAACGAATCAGATGAAACGGTGAGGAATACGTGGATGCTGTTGACGATTTTTGCGTTTGTCGAGCAACACGTAGTCTAGCGCTGTCGTGGTGAAAGATGGTGCCTTCTGGATTCACTAATTTTGCACGTGTTGGGTGGAATTTAACGTTAATTTAGGTGTGCTGTTCACCGCACTGCTGCTTGGTTGAGGTTTGGCTCGTGACAAACTTACCAGCTGCATTCCCACCACCAGACACGCAGCAAAACTGCCGCAGCAATTCACCCTCACTTTCATCGCCAATCTTGACTTGACCCTCCCACTCCCCCCACCCCCACCCCCACCAAAAAAGGTTCGTTTTGCTGACGAGGGAGGAGAAAAGCAACAGTCGAAACACGATTTGGCTGGTTGTGTACTGTTAAAAGACTCGTAATTCAACCACGCGTTATCGAGTGTCTAGGTGCCTGCAAGCTACTTCCACTAGCGGGGACCTTTAATCTCTCTCCTGGCTGGTTTGTCAGTACCGAAAATCGCCCTAACATGCCAATATCACATGCCAATAACACACACACACATAAAATGGGAAATTTGCCCTTTCAAAGAAATAAAAAGGCGGTGTCTTGGATCTGGAAATGAGTGTCTGTGCCGCGAAACGAGCCAATCACGTGAGAGGAAAGCGCGTGAATCAGTCGATAATTGAGTGCTTTTCGAGCAGGGAGGCGGGTGTTTCAAGTTATCTAAACGGCCGCATCCATTTCGTTGATTTTTACCGAATCAGCCTCGCGTTGAGCTTAGCCGGCACAGTTAGAGGACATAATAATTTGGCAATTTCAATGACTAAATGTCTCCGAGGTAAAAAACATCAGTGTCAGAGGACCTCATTTGACATTAAGGTCTGGTCAAATAAGGCGGGTGCTACTGACATACATCGAATGGCATCCTGGAATTTGACTCGATTTTGTCACACCCTCGTTCAATTTGCAAACCGCTAATGATTCTAGTTGGATTTACTGATATCGACTACACAGAGAGTATTGTAGATCGAACAGCGCCTAGAATCAGACTAATGGTGACAAGCACACAACTGCCGCCAAAAATCCCTTTACCTCGCAGGCGAAATTCTTGAGATGAAAGTGGCGCGACATGTGCTGACGGAAGTTGGCCCGATCGAGGGCGTGGAAGCTGCAGAACTCACAGCGGAAGGCGGTCTCGCCGTTGTGCGAGAAGGCGATGTGGCGCTCCAGGGCGTGCTTCCGGGTGTACACCAGGCCGCACTCGGGGCACTCGAAGGGGTGGCCCATGGTCTTCTCCGGCAGCACGCTCAACTTGTAGCGTTTTGTGCGATTGGCCTACAATCCATAAAACAGCCAATCAGAATTGAAGAAAACATTTGCACTGTGCTGCTGAGATTAATAGAAATTAAACGTTAATCAATCTACAGGCCTTCAATTTCTCCGCCGACGAGGAACACCAACCTGCTACACATCGAGCCTCATCGGCCAATCACATTTGGCGGCCAGAAAGCAGCAACTTCTCTGTCGGCTACCTGATAGGCGGTGGAAGCGGAGCCAGCGGAGTGTCATTGGTGGACCCACACGACTCGGTGCCGAGTTCCACCTCCGAGCTACACGCACTCCCCACTTCCGA